TGAGGTTCACAGCCAGGCCCCACATAGAGGTTATAATGACGTGTTGTGGTTTCGATAATTTAAAATGGATTGGCCCCCTCATCACCCCCTCTTTGGCACCTCTTGACTTTAAGGTGTGAAAATGGGGATGTAATGAATTTTTATGGGGTGCTTATTACATGGACGGATCCTAACGGACAATAATCAGTCAAAGACTGACATAATAACCACTTTAGACGGCTATAATAGAACCATTTCTCCTTTAGAATCGATTGAAGTATGGATATTGATTTTCTCAAAGACCTAAATTTTGCAAAAAAAAAAAAAACAGATCATTTAGAGCGCAGGAAGTATCCTAAGCCCACATCGTACGCATATCGCAAAATCATACATATTTTCAGGGTTTCAACGCTATTCCTTCGCCCAATACCAAATTAGTATACTATTTAGTATTTTTCGTACACATTTCCGAAAACACCTCCATTTCAAATTCCCAGACACCAACAGAGACTTCAATATCAAATTTCGGGATTCCAATTCGATCCTTTCACCCAATACCCATTTTACTACCACTTAGTACTTTTGGAACAATTATAGTACGCATTTCCAAAACCAGCTCCTTCTCTTAACCACAGACACCAACAGTGACATCCATATCAAATTTCGGGATTCCAGTTTTATCCCTTCATTCAGTACTATTTACTACTTTTCGTACAATTATAGTACACATTTCCAAAACCACCTACATATCTTAATTCCATATGCTACAGAGACCTCAATACCAAATTTGAGGATTCCATCCCTACCCCTTTACCCACTACCCAATTTAGTACCATTTGGTACTTTTCGTACAAATACAAGACACATTTCCAAGCAACCGCAAAATCTGAAATATAGATACCAGCAGAGAACTCAATATCAAATTTAACGGTTCCAGCTCTATCCCTTCACCCAATACCAAATTTCGTACCATTTAGTACTGTTTTAGTACACATATTGAAAAACAGCTCATTATCTCGAACACAGACACTAACAGTTATAGTACACATCTCCGATTCTACCTCCACGTGTCCAGGCTGCACTTGAACAACGACCCTAATATTTATATTTCAAATTTTGTGCAGTATCTATTCACCCCATATCAAATTGTAACAAATATAGTACTATTTAGTACTTTTCGTGCACTTGTAGTACACATTTCCATAAACCACTTCTTTATCACAAATCTATCATCTAAGCTTCACCATGGAAGACCTGTAGAAGGACTTTGGACCATAGAAAAAACTTCAGTGCATAGAACACCTGTAGAAGTCTTTAGACCATAGAGGACCTGAAGAAGGTCTGCGGTCATAGAAGACCTGTAGAAGTTCTTCGGACCATAAAAGACCTGTAGAAGTTCTTTGGATCATAGAAGACCTTTTGAAGGAATTCGGTCTATAAAAGACTTGTAGAAGGTCATCGGTCCATAGAAGACCTGTAGCTGATCTTCGGTCCATGGAAGACCTGTAGAAGGTCAACGGTCCATAGAAGACCTGTAGAAAGCCTTTGGTCCATAGAGGACCTCTAGAAGGGCTTCAGATGGTTTCCTGGCCTTTCAATGCTTTTATTCATAGAAGATCTACCGTCAATAGAATACCTGTATGGGGGTCTTCCGTCCATAGAAGACGTGCAGAAGACGTTTTCTTCATAGTAGTTATGTATATGCACCTATTTCCTCTAGAAATTATCCATACCAAATTTCGAGATTGCGGCTACATTCCTTTACCCAATACCAAATATTGTACCATTCGTTACTTTTCGTACAATTATAGTACACATCTGCGATTCTACCTCCACGTGGACCCCAACAGGGACCCCAACACAAAATGTAAAAATTTAAGCTTCACCCGTTCACTCTAAACCAGACTGATTCAATTTTAGTACCATTTAGTACAGTTCGCACATTTAGTACACATTTCCAAAACCACTTTCAAATATCGGACTTTCTTTCCAACATTGATTCTTAAATCCAATTTTTTAGTTCAGATAATACCAAATGGTACCATTTTAGAGATTTAATACCATTTTAGAACTTTTCTTAACCTTTCGAATTTCGAAAGATCCTTTGGTCCATCTATCTTGCACTCCAACAGTGACCCTCATTCCAAGTTTCAGAGTTCTTATTCAATCCCTTTTTACCAATATGAAATATGGAATTTTTAGTACATTTTAGAACTTTTTGTATCCTTTTGGTACAAATTTACAAAAACCCCAGCCTTATCGCACGCCTACACACCAAAACTGATCCACGTGCTAGGTTTTAAGATTCTAGTGATCAGTCTGTCAATTATTTCACTACTCTTTTATATATAGATAATTTTCGTAAAAATTGTGATTATCTTCAAAACTTTCATATCCTAATATTTTAGGCAATCTTAGATTCGGTCTAAGAATAGCCCCACTAACTACCCCTAAAGTTAAAAATTACCCCAAAAAAATTAAAAAAAATGACAAAATTTTCATCCGAGCAAAATCAGTAGAGAAAGACCAAGAATCGTGCGGGGTCGACCATAAGACACCCTACTACGCGTATAATTGTAGAAGACCTGTGAAAGGTCTTCGGTCCATAGAAGACGTGCATTTGCCACTGGTTTCTTTTATATATTTTTTCATTTCAGATTTTCAAAAAAAAAAAAAAAAGAATTGAGCCTCTGGCCAGCTTTTTGAATTTTTTAAAAATATTTTCTCAAAGACTCCCGGATATGCTTTGTTAAGAATCTTCTGTACGAAAATCCTTGATATATCTATTTTAAATATCATTTCCCCTTCCTTATTAAATGGAAAGTGACAACCATTTTCTGCATCAGTTGACAACAAAGCCCAAATTCATAGTCTGTTGTTCCAACAAAAGTTTTCCAAAAATTTGTTGTAAATTTTTTTTTCGATTCCATTTAAAGTCATTTCATATTTTGCAGGCGTTACCAGCAGTGGGTTGGTTACTCTACTCCTAGTTGGAGATATTAATTGCCATAACTTTTTTTCATTTGTCTTTGACGTCAGAAAATAGAAAATGAATTTTATTTTATTTTCTTGTTCCTCGTTTTTTGTCGACTAAAGTTGGCCGCCTACTTTTGCCTGTGAGCTATGCGAATGTTAGATTTTTATGAAAAATTCTGCCATGACGTGTTTGGCAAATTGAAATGTTAGGTTGGGTGGGGTTAGAAAAAAAAGCAAAAGTTTTCCTCCACAGCAATTAAATGAATTCAAATTCAGTTGATTGGTAATTTAGACAAGGTAGGGTAATTTGATACAAAATTAAAGGGTTTGGAGAGCAATGGGGATGTGGGCAGACAGTTAATAACAATAGGGTGAAAACATGAGATGAAGGAAGGTAGGAATTTAAAAAAAGAACAGAAAGCTCTTTAGAAGGTCTTTAGTGCATAGATGACCTCTAAACGGTTTCCTGTTCATAGAAGATCTGTAGAAAGTCTTCCAAGCATAGAAGGCCTTTCAAAGGTTGTTGGTCTATAGAAAACCTGCTGAAGTTCTTCGATTCATAGAAGACCTGTGGAAGGTCTTTGGTCCATAGCAGACCTGCAGAAAGTGTTAGGTCCATAGAAGTCCTGTAAAAGGTCTTCGGCCCATAGAATTCCGGTAAAAGATCTTCTGTCACTGGAAGACCTGTAGAAGATGTCCGGTCCATGGAAGACCTTTAGAAGGTCTTCGGTACGTACAAGACCTGTAGAAGGTCTTTGGTTCCTAGAGGACCTGTAGATGGTTTACGGTCCATAGAGGAACTGTAGAAAGACTTTGGTTCACAGAAGACCTCTAAAAGGTCTTAGGTGCATAGAAGACCTATGGAAGGTCTTCGATTTATAGAACCCTATAGACGGTAATCGGTTCATAGAAGACCTATGGAAGGTCTTCGGTTCATAGAAGATCTGCAGAAGGTCTTCTGTTTATAGGTCCATTAAAAACCCTTCTGTGCATAGAAGACCTGTAGAAGGTCTTCAGTGCATAGAAGACCTGTAGAAGGTCTTCAGTGCATAGAAGACCTGTAGAAGGTTCTCAGCGCATAGACGGCCTGAAGGAGTCTTTAGTCCATAGAGGACCTGAAAAAGACCTGTTGAAGGTCTTCGTACCATAGAAGACCTGTAGAAGGACTTCGGACCATAGAAGACCTGTTGAAGGACTTCGGTCTATAAAAGACTTGTAAAAGGTCGTCGGTCCATAGAAGACCTGTAGCAGGTCTTCTGTCTGTAGAGGACCTGTAGAAGGTCTTCTGACCATAGAAGACCTGTAGAAGGTCATCGGTCCATAGAAGACCTGTAGCTGATCTTTGGTCCATGGAAGACCTGTAGAAGGACTTTGGACCATAGAAGAACTGTTGAAGGACTTCAGTGCATAGGAGACCTGTAGAAGTCTTTAGTCCATAGAGGACCTGAAGAAGGTATTCGGTCATAGAAGACCTGTAGAAGTTCTTTGGACCATAGAAGACCTGTAGAAGTTCTTTGGACCATAGAAGACCTGTAGAAGGACTTTGGACCATAGAAGACCTGTTGAAGGACTTCGGTCTATAGAAGACTTGTAAAAGGTCGTCGGTCCATAGAAGACCTGTAGCAGGTCTTCTGTCTGTAGAGGACCTATAGAGGGTCTTCTGACCATAGAAGACCTGTAGAAAGACTTCGGTCTATATAAGACTTGTAGAAGGTCATCGGTCCATAGAAGACCTGTATCTGATCATCGGTCCATGGAAGACCTGTAGAAGATCAACGGTCCATAGAAGACCTGTAGAAAGCCTTTGATTCATAGAGGACCTCTAGAAGGTTTCCTGGCCATAGAAGCCTTTCAATGCTTTTATTCATAGAAGGCCAGCAGAAGTCAATAGAATACCTGTATGGGGGTCCATAGAAGACGTACAGAAGACGTTTCCTTCATAGAAGTTATATGTATACATCTATTTCCTCTAGAAATTAGCACTAAATATTTCCAATCACCAACTTATCACTCATCCTTTTGTATCCTCCTTTATGTCCTTCCAGGCGCGGCTTAACTCCTCCACATCGTGTCAAATCGATTTCAATGGCCACCTTCACACAGGACGAAATTGATTTCCTTAAGGCACATGGTAATGATGTTTGTGCCAAGACATGGCTGGGTCTGTGGGATCCCAAGCGAGCTGTGCATCAGGATCAGCGTGAACTAATGATTGATAAATATGAACGTAAACGTTATTACTTGGAGCCAGCTAGTCCTCTAAAGTCCCTGACAAATGCCACAAATCTTAAGACTTCATCTTCATCATCGACAGCAGGAGCAACGACAACAACATCTACAGCATCATCAGGATCGGCCACATCGAACAACAATCGCAGCAACAGTAACAGCACACACAACAGCAGCAGCAACAACAACAACCATCACCACACCCACATACAACTAACTCCGCCCACTTCACAACGTACCACAGCGAATGGCTTGCATAAATCCTCCTCATCGGCCATAAGTCGTCCACATCACAGCGGTAACAGCACCACCACATCCCAGCAGAATGGCTTCAATACAGACGCCTTTGGCCTACACAATGGCCTAAATCTGTCCGTGGGCTCAGCATCGACTGGCGCCCTCTCGGACACCAGTAGCTGTGCCAGTGCAAATGGATTCGGTGCTGAGGCAGATTTTGTTGCCGATTTTGGTTCAGCCGACATCTTCAATGCCACCGTAGCCAGTAGCAGCCCAGCCTCGTCGGTGGGCTCATCGTCGACCAACAACATCAACAATGGTTATGCCAAAATACAACAGCCACTGAGGTCGTCCGGAGGAGCCACCAGTGCCCAGCAGCAGTTTATGAATGGCAACGGCAATAGTTTCTCCAGCAATGGCGAGAATTTTGCGGACTTCGATCATGCTCCAATTTATAATGCGGCAGGTGAGTCGGTTATTTTCGAGTTGTTGTCGTCGTTATTGTTGTTATTATTCTTTGTTTAACTAATGGCTATTCAATTGCTCCAAAACTAGCACCACAATGAATTTTCTGTTTTTTATTCTTCTTTTCTTTTTTTGTTGTTGTTGTCGTTATGAACGCGCCTATTTTCCTCTAAATGTTTTTTTTTTTTTTTTTTTTTTTTGTAAAACGAGTTTTATTTTTCTTCTTTTTCGCTCTCTCGAACTCTGTGCGTTTTTATTTTTGTAAAATTTTCTATAATTTTGTGTGCTTCTTGTTTTTAATAGAAATAATTGCTTCTATTACAAACAAGAACTTAGCTCTAAAGGGGGAATATCACCAACCCATGAAAGGTCTTTTGACCTGTAGAACATCAGTCCATAGAAGACCTGTAGAAGGTCTTTGGTCCATAGAATATCTGCCCAAACATTAATTGTAGAAGGTATTCCGTCCACAGAAGACCTGTAGACAATTTTCGGTCCATAGAAGACCTGTAGAAGGTCTTCGATACATAGAAGAACTGTAGAAGGTCTTCGATACATAGAAGGTTAGAAGGTCTTCTATCCATAGAAGACCTGTAGTAAGTCTTCCATCCATAGAAGACCTGTAGAAGGTATTCGGTCCATAGAAGACCTGAAGAAGGTATTCGTTCCATAGAAAACCTTTTGAAGGTATTCTGTCCACAGAAGGCCAGTAGACAATTTTCGGTCCATAGAAGACCTGTAGAAGGTGTTCGATACATAGAAGAGCTGTAGAAGGTCTTCGATCCATAGAAGGTTAGAAGGTCTTCGATCCATAGAAGGTTAGAAGGTCTTCGATCCATAGAAGACTTGCAATAAGTCTGCGATCCATAGAAGACCTGTAGAAGGTATTCGGTCCATAGAAGACCTGTAGAAGGTATTCAGTCCATAGAAAACCTTATGAAGGTATTCTGTCCTTCGAAGACCTGTAGAAGGTCTTCGAACCATAGACCTGTATTAGTTTTTCACACCATAGAAGACCTGCAGAAAGTTTTCGTTGCGTGGAATATCTGTACAAGATAATCTGTCCATCGAAGACCTGTAGAGGGTCTTCGAACCATAAAAGACCTGAATAGGAGAGGTCTTCTGTAAAAGATCTTCGGTCCAAAAAAGACCTGTAAAAGTTCTTGGATTCTAAGAAGTTATTTGTCCACAGAAGGCCTGTATCCATAGAAGACGCGTAGTAGGTCTACAATTCCTAGAAGACCTGTAGAAAATCTTCGATACACAGAAGACTTGTAGAAGGTCTTCGATCCACAGAAGATTTGTAGAAGGTATTCGGTCCATAGAAGACCTGTAGTAGGTCTTCAAACGATAGAAGACCTGTATAAGGTCTTCGTTGCGTGGTAGATTTGTACAAGATATTCTGTCCGACCATAGAAGACCTGAATAGAAAGTCTTCGTTTTTTGTCAAAAGAAGGCCTGCGTCCATAGAAGACGCGTAATAGGTCAACAATCCCAGTATAGAGTCTTCTTTTCGTGGAAGGTCTCTGTCCATAGAAGACCTCAGAAGGAATTCTATACCTAGAAGACCTGAAGAAAGTTTTCCGTCCAAGGAATTCCCTAAGATGGTCCTGTGCCCAGAGAAGACCTGTAGAAGGTATTTTGTCCTTAGAAGACCAGGAAAATGTCTTCTGTCTCTAGAGGACCTATAGAAAGTATTCGGTCTTTAGAAGACCTGTAGAAGGATTTCCCTCAATAAAATACCTATATGAGGTTTTCTGTCCATAGCAGACATCAGAAGAAATTCCATCCCTAGAAGATGCAAGTAATGTCTTCTGTAAACAGAAGATATGTAGAAGGTCTTCAGATCGTAAATAAAAAAAATTTAAAGAGTCTTCAGTCTCCAGAACACCTGTAGAAAGTTTCCTAATATGTAGTAGGTCTTTTGTGCCTGAAAAAAAACTGTAAAAGAACTTCAGCCCATACAAAAAGCCTTGTGGGAGACTGAAGGACTTGAAAAGATATTTTTTAGATAACAGATTTATTTTCCTCTTCCTTTGATCCACTCCTCTTATCGCCTTATAATGTAGCACATCTAAACTCTTCTTTTAAATGTTGCTACTGCTCAGCTAAAAGTTTTTGCTTTCCGCGTTTAACCCATATTTGAAAAGTTTTTACATTTTGTTGTTATTTGAAAATCCTTTGAATCCTCTTTAATTCTCATTTCCAGACTCAGCTGTTCTGTTGGCTTTTATTGTTTTAGGTTCTCTTCTCTTTCCTTTGCGTTTAATGTTATTCTATTCGTTTTTTTTTTATTGCCAGATTAAAGCCATTCCAAGTATAACAGGATTTATGACTTAATAATCCGATTTTATTTAGCTTGGAATCTGCTGCAATTATTACGGTTCTCCTTTTCTTTAGTTTGTCTGTGATTTATGGAAAGCATCCGAATCCAGAAATTATGTTTCTTTTTTTGTTGTCCATCGTTGTCGTCGTCGCTTGTTTTCTTTATCTTCTTCGTTATGTTTGGCTTACGTTTAATTGCCTTTCACAAAAAAGAAATGAAAACATTTACCATTCAAAGTGACCAGTTTCATCTAGTCCTCCGGATGGAGGTTGGATTGTGTTGCATCCATGTTTTTGAGATGTGATTTTTTTGTGAAAATCTTCGGATGTTAACATAGGAGAAACTACATTGGTAATATTGAAAGTACTTCCAGAAAAATAAAGATCAATGTCTGAAGATCAATGCCTAGTGAAGCTGAGAGGTCGTGGTTAATTGTTTGATCCCAAATCCTATATATAATCCCAATACCTATATAATCTGGAATGACTACGGTAAAATAATTTTAGACCTAACAAAGTACATATATTCTTGATCAGCGTAAAATTCGTAAGACGATTTAGCCCTGCCTTGTGTCTGCAGGCAGGTCACTTTCAAAGATGGGCCTCGCTTTCGTATAGCCCCCATATAACGGTACCCCGATTTTGGTATTTTGATAATTTTAGCCACATTTTTCAATAGAATTGTCCGAAATTCTACGCAAGGAGTTTTTGATGAGTACTTTACCCCCTGAAGGTGAATTGTCTATATAAGTTTACGACATTCGGTATTTTGATGATTATAGCCACATTTTTTCAATGGAATTATCTGAAAATCCTCACAAGGAGCTCCTTCTGAGTACTTTACCCTCTGGAAGAGAATTGTCTATACAGGTCCACCATATCACATAGCCACCATATCACACAGCCACCATACAAGGGTACAACCCCCATACTCGCTATTTGGATGATTTTATCTAGATTTTTTACAGAAATTGTTTTAAATTTCGTATTTTAATCTCGTAATAGGTACTGCAACCTATGGCGGAAAATTGTCTCTGTAGGTCCACGTCTTCATATAGCCCACATATAACGGCACCTCCCTTTATCTGGGTTTCTAATGATATTAGCGGAACTGTTTCCAGTTTTATGATATAATAGACATTTTTTACCGGAATTGTTTCAACTACAGCCTGGGACAAAAAATTGTGTATACGTCATCGCATCTTCGGATCACGTCTTCGTATAGCCCCGTTATGTCGGGTATTATTCGACTTAATCTTTTGAAGATTGTTTAAGTTCCTTCAAAATGGTGGAGCCTTTTAAAAGTTCGCTTTTTTTACTTGTTTTTTTTTTAATCGGCATTCGATTTTGCCGTGACACAGTTTTAGCCGATTTTAAATTACCGAGAGCCAAAAAGTATGCTACGATTAACGCATTTTTATACCCTCAGCCATATGGATACATTTGATGCGTCTAAAATGTTCCTCGTCCAAATAACAGTCCTAGACGCTTGGTCTATTTGGACGAAGGCAGTTTCAGGATATTTGGAGGCGATCTAGCGATGTCCGTCCGTCCGTCCGTCTAACTGGCTTGATATATCGTAATGTTATTATCAAAATTAAATCGAGCTCCAAAATGGGCAATATCAGTCCACTTCTTCTGGTACCTCCTCCACAAAAGGTCAACATTTTTATAATTTACCCAATAGAACAAGAAATACAATTTTGTTCAAACTTTGCAAAGCGTAATATTCGTAGAAGTGCTAGGTCATCAAATAGCTCCCCCACAGAGAATAAACATTTTGAAGAAAAACACCTCTTATAAAATCTGGAAAAAAAATCTTATTGCCTTTAAATTTCACGCAGCTCACTCCTTCAGGAATGTCCACACATAAGGCCAAAATTTTGAATAACAAAACGCTCTTAAAAGCGAAATAAACCTTCGTTTCTCTTTGATTTTCATACATCCTAATATTTTTTCTACCAAAAGATCTGGCGTAAAGACGGGATATATCCCTGCCCTCCTTCCGGTACCTCCCCCTTCTAAATTCCCCCATTCCAAAATTTAAAATAAAATAAGATCTTGTTTGAAGATGTGATGTATCGGTCAACCCCTCCTGGCACCTCCCCCACAAAGGTCACAATTTCCAATTTTTATATCTCTAATAACTTGCAAAACAATGCGATGCTTTTAAAACTTTTATCTAAATATCTCTCTCTTAACCAGAGACCAGAGAGATATCAGACTTAGGTCAGATACGAAATGGACAATATTGGCCCACTCCATCGGAACTTTCCCCATACAGGGTCAATAGTTTGAACAATCATGACGGAAGGCTGAGGGTATACAGGGTGAGATAAAACAACTGCAACAAAGTCAAACGCCATAATTTTTACATTTGTTAATTTTTTTTTTTTTTTTTGAATGAAAGCAAAAAATATCGGAAATAGCATCAAATTTTAGAATAAGTTTAAATTTGTTCGAATTGGTCACCTTTGGCACGAATTATGGCCTTCAAACGGCTGCCCGAATGTTGTTCTGCGGTATTTTGGTCCATTCCCAGCGAAGTGCTTGCTTGAGGTGATCGATCGACACTTTGGTGTTTTTTAGTGCCAATCTTGCTTTCCAAAATACTCTAGACACAATAGTCCAACGGATTGGTATCCGGAGATTTTGGTGGCCATTGTGCGCTGGAAATGAAGCGAGGAACCTCATTTTGTAACCATTCTTGGGTGGGTGGCGCGTGCTGAGTGCGAAGGTGCTGAATCCTGTTAGAATGTCCTAGGTCTGCGGCCACAGTAGATTAATACGAGTGAAGAGCGACCATCGGCTGTTATGGCGACCCACACCACCACCATGGCCGGCGTTTGAGTTCTGGTGGCCAACCGAAGGTGCACATTTTCAGCTGACCTCTTTGGCAAGTAAACACGATCATTTTATTTGTTTATAAACTGCTAGACAACGAATGTTTTCTCATCGGAGAAAACCAAATTCGGCAGTTCACCACTTTCGGCCAAGCAAACCAACTCTTTAGCTCTTTTCAGTCTATTTTCTTTCTGTTGCGGTGAAAGTTCTTGCACTTTCTGGAATTTCAATGGCTTTAGCCCGAGCTCATTTTTCAATATTAGCCGAATGGAACATTGCGATACGATCAGCTCACGAGTCGCTTCTTTACTTTTCGGACCATTTCTGCTGATGTTGCTGTTTTCTTCCGTCCACCGTCCTTGACGTCGGGCCACGCTACCAGTATCACGGTATCGAGCGATGGTACGAGACACAAAAGATTTATTCACATTTAAATGCTGGAGTGCCCTAACGATAGCCACTTGTGGTTTTCCAGCCAAATATAAAGAAATCACACTATCACGCTTGAATTCCACCACGAATAACTTTTTTGTCGGGAAAATTCTCACCAAAATGCTTTTGTACGCTTGTAAACAATATAATAAGCTGTCACTGGAATAATTTTAACAGCTGTCGGAGGAGTGGCTTAAAAATGACAGCAGCCTGAAGTTGGTTGCAGATTTTTCATCTCACTAGGAGATCTTCTGCTTTATCCAATAGTCGTAACATAATCTATAAATCTTCTATCGAAAAAGGAATTTCCTAGATTTTAGGTTGGAGGCCAAATCTATATTCTCCAGATATAATCTTCAATCCATGATTTTTTTATTACTACATTTGCGATTACGAAAAGCTGAAGAAAACTCTATTAAATCCAGATGTTCACGGAAATGAAATCCCCAACGTCATTTCAAATTCATATATCTAAAAAGAATTTTGCGCCTTTAATTTTTGAGTTTTGCCTTGGGAAAATCAAATTTATGAATTTTGGTTTAGATCAGATTTTTCTAAAGTTTTGCGTATTTTGTTCGATTTTTTGACTTTCAACATAAAAATGTATGATGTTGAATATTTGTCAAGCTCTTCCAAATATAAAAAAAACTCCCAGGTTGGTCCGCCTAAGATCAGAATTTTCTTTTCATACAGCTGCCAGTAAAGTTTGAAATCAACAAAAAATCCTATTTGTCGATTTTTGTGGAAAATCCGATCTTCAATTTTTAATACTGTGCTATATTTATAAATGGCTATTTTATTTCCCTCCAACTTACTAATGTTTTGTATTTTGTACAAAAAATTCGCTTTCTACTGATTTTTATTTTGTTGTTTCTTTTTCATTGTTGTTGTTTTCGTTTCCTTCTAATTTTGTGATTTATTGTTTGTTGTAAATATGTCCCCGTGAAGAAATATTTGGGTTTTTATTTAATTTGTAAAAATCATTTGTTGTTTCATTTATAACACCGTTGCCAAAATAAAAATGTTTAAAAATTTCAATTGGAATCAAGTTTTGAAATTTTCAGTTTTTTTTTATATTACAATTTTTTCTTTCTTCTTCTTCTCTATATTTCTTCCACCCGCCCCCTTCGGTCCGTGCACCCACCCATGTTTACATGCTACTTTGTGTGTTGTGCTCACACCAAAAAAAAAAATCAATTGAACTGCAAAAAAAATCCATCCATCCCTAAGGTCCAAATCCCCTGGCCGATATAGCCGAGGAGCCCAACTATCAATTTGTACGAAAAAATGCCGTACGCAAGAAATCCCTTAGATCCGAGTCCTTGACAATAAAACCCAATGAACGTCAATTAAAGGATATTCTTGAAATGGATAATCCCATGCACTATGAGGACGATGGGCAGCAGCAGCAACAGGATTATATACAGTTTACACCGAACGAAAGCTATCTAAAGGCCACAAGTGATTTCAATAGCATAATTGAGGATTTCGAGAGATTTTTAACAATGAATGGCCACAAATATTTAGACGCCGGGGACCAACAACAAAAGGGGGAGCAACAGGCGGGCGGTGATTTTATTGCCATGATGCAGGCCCAACAGAGGCAAATGACGGCCAACACCAACACCTCCACGACGAAATTTACTCCTTTGGCATTGGCAGCCCATGCCACAGCCATGGCTGTGTTGGGTAATCAAAATCATTTCAATACACCAGCCCCGCCACCACCGCCCTCAACTACTACCTCCAGCAACGGCTCAAATTTAATGACATCAAAGAACACTTCATTAAATGCTCAATGGGATGTTTGGTCTCTGGATGGTAGCAGCAACACAACCTCCATGCGCAGCAATCAACCGCAAATGGCCACTGGGCCAGCAGCATGGCAGACAACAACAAGTCTGTTCGATATAAAAGAAGAGCAACAACAAACACAGCAATCGATAGGCATGTCCTTATTTAGCAGCAACAGCAACAATGGTGGCAATATCCTTAACCCGTCCAACACCACAACCTCTTTCTTTGCCACCGGCCCCAGTACCTCAGCCACAACAAATCTGATACCAACGACGGCAATGGCAGCAACAGCATCCTCATCCGCATCGGAAACGAAAACCGGCACCAGTATGTTGTCCAATTCAAATCCTTTTCGTATGCATCTCGATGTTGTTTGTTTCGATGATGATGCTGCATTAAATTTATTTAACAACAACAACAATAATAATAACAGTAACAACAATTTTAATAGCCAATCTCCATATTCTGCATCTTCTGTTTCTTGCATTGCAACAACAAAAACAAATAATAATTTTGATTTTATTAAAAATTCCAATTCCAATTTTGATTTGTTTAAAGATGATGTTGATGAGAATTCTTTCGACAACAACAATCAGTTTCCTCATAATAACAACAACAACAAGAATCCTTTTAGTCCTCCTCAGACTCCGCCTCCTACTCCCCCACCTCCCACCGAATTTTCTCTACCAACAAATGATCCTGTCCCATTCGCCGCCGCCACATCCAACTACTATGATCCCTTCTCAACCGACCATATACTGCAGCAACATCCCAACCTACTTTCCTCCTCCTCCACAGCAACAGCAACAACAACAATATCACTATCCCCCTTCTCCTCCCCATCCTCGTCATCTACCACCTCCAAGCGCCCCCACAAAGTTGTTGATTTTGTTGATGAAAATGCAAATCGAATTCCACAAAATCTATTCAATGCGAATTCAAAAACTAATTACCTCAATTCGAAACTGGAAGTGGCTGCAGCCAGCAACAACAACAAAAACAATATTTTAAATTCAAATATTCCTCTTTCGAATCTCTCAAATGAAAGCCAGATTTCTTCTATTTCCTCCAACACGACCTCCACCATCAACAACTACAACAGCAACAGCCAATTATTAAATTATCATAAAAACAATGATTACAATAACAACAACAACAATAACAATGATTGTTGGCGTAAGTTATTTGTTGTATTTTTGTTTTGAGTTTCGTTTTTGTTTTTAATTTCTGTTTGAGTTCAACTTTGTTCTTCATAGTTTGAGTTCTAATTTTTGTTTAATATTTGTATTTCAGTTGAAATAATATGTTTTTAAATTTACACAGTGCTACATTTAAAAAATTATTTTGAATTTTAAATATTATTTAAAAAATTATAATTTTCGCAAAAAAGTGGCCTTATCTATCCGATCTAGTGTTTTGTATTTATATAATTTAGACATGTACAGGGTAGGATAAAAAAAACTGCAACAAAGTCAAAAAACGCCATAATTTTTACATTTTTTTTAAATTTTAAAAAAAGTCGGAAATAGCTTAAAATTTTAGAAAAAGTTTAGATTTGTTCGAATTGGTCACCTTTGGAAAGAGTTTTGGCCTTCGAACGGCCAATGAAACCACACATGCTGCCCCAATGTTGCTCTGCGGTATTTTGGCCCATTCCTGGCGAAGAGCTTGCTTGAGGTGATCGACATCTTGGTATTTTTTAGTGCCAACCTTGCTTTCCAAAATACTCCAGACACAGTAGTCCAACGGATTGGTATCCTGAGATTTTGGTGGCGATTGTGCGCTGGAAATGAAGCGAGGAACCTCATTTTGTAACCATTCTTGGGTGGGGCGTGCTGAGTGCGATGGTGCTGAGTCCTGCTAGAATGTCCAAGGTCTGCGGCCAAAATGTTTATATGCCCAAGGTTTTAATAAACCCTCTAGAATATTTTCGCGATAATATTCGTGAGAGGGACCATCGGCTGTTATGGCGGCTCACACCATCACCTTGGCCGGCCGGCGCTTGAGTTCTGGTGGCCAAGTGAAGGTGCACATTTTCAGCTGACTTCTTTGGCGACCATTCATACGATCATTTTGTTAAAATTTTAACAGCTGTGGCTTAGAAATGACAGCAATCTAAAATTGGTTGAAATTTTTTTATCTCACTCTGTATATATGGGTCTCCTAATATTGAGCTTTATGTGCTGCAGGAAGTATATACAAGAATATACTAGAAGTGCAGAGCTTTCGCAATTTCGTATTTTTGATAAATTTTCTCACAGTAATTTCAGACACAATTTCACATTATTTTGAAGTCATAGAAGACCAGAAGATCTTCTCACAGAAGACCAGAAAGACTCCTCATAAAAGGCCAGAAGGTCTTCATATAGAAGACCGGAAGGTCTTCTTTTAAAAAGCCAGAAGGTCTTCTTATAGAGGACCAAAAAGTCTTCTATTAGAAGATTTGAAGGTCTTCTATTATAGGACCAGAAGGTCTTCTTTTAGAAGACCAGAAGGTCTTCTCATAGAAGGCCCAAAGGTCTTGTCATAGAAGACAGGAAGGTCTTCTCATAGAAGACCAGAAGGTCTTCTCATAGAAGACCGGAAGGTCTTCTCATAGAAGACCGGAAGGTCTTCTCATAGAAGACCGGAATGTCGTCTTATAGAAGATCGGAATGTCTTCTGATTGAAACTCTAAAGCACTTTTCAAAAAAGCCCTTAAGGTATTTTCATAGAAGTCCAAAAGTAAGCTTAAACAATTATAGTAAGTTCGGTCCGGCCGAACTTTTGATACCCTCCACCAAGATGTATGCGAAGCCCAAATGAGGACCTATATTAACAATTTATTTGTATAGCATTTAGGCAACCATTAAAATCTTACACAATTTCAGACAATTCCGTTAAAAAAAATGTTGAAAGCCTTCAGGTTAAATGTTGAGGTGAAATTTTACTAGGACTTTTAAATCATCGAAACAGAAGATAAATCTTAGAAGCGATATCTAGGATTTTTCGTAGGTTTACTTTTCATTTGACGAAAAATTCCAAATTGCAAGACCAGAATGTATTGCTATATAGGGTTATATAAAATAGTCGAGCTTAATATGTTTTTTGCAGGAAGTTTTAATATCCAATTGGTTCGGTTAAATGTTGAGGTCGAGTAGTGCAAAAAAGAAGCTGAGATCAAAAAGTACCAAAGTGTTGTGTGGGAAAATACTTATGCATAAATTCATAAAGCCTATTTTCAATATTTCAATCAGTCTTCGTAAAATCCTCATCATCTTTATGTAGCATTAAAAAACAACCCAAATTTTCATAATCTGAATTGGGTATTACTTACTATTATTTTATTTATTTATTTTTTTTTTGTAGCACTGTGTAATTTGTTGAATAATTCGCTAAAAATCCTGTATTGCTTGTTGCTGCTGTTGCATACGTTGTTACTTTTTTTTGACTAATTTGTTGCCGCTATTTATTGATTGCTTTTGCAGCAACCATGTTAGCATGAGTTTTTGGTTAAATATATTTTATTCTGCTAATTGTTTTGATTTAAATGGTTTGCTGAAATTCTTGACCAGAATTTTAATATTTTTCCCATATACAATTGTTATACCCTACAACACTATGTGTTGTGGGTATTATAATTTTGATTAAGCCAAAAATTATGTAACACCTCGAAATATTGATTTCCCACATAGGGAAATAAATATGGATCATTCTATCTCTAGCCGAGTCGATCTACCTATGTATGTCTGTCCGTTTGTCAATGTTAATTTGTAATGACGCTGTAGGTCGCAATTATGACCCGATCCTCACGAAATTTAAAATGGAGATGGTCGCATAATGTTTAGGTTGAAATGGACCAAAAACTGAAAAATTTCCTGATCTTGCAGTTGCTCTCCAAGTCGCAATTATAGACCAATAGACGCGAAAGTTGGCTTAGAGCTGGGCAATAGCCTTCCAATTTTGATGGTCATCATATTTAGTGGGTGAAATAGTCCATAACATTTGTGTTAAATGAAATTCAAATTTTCCATTTAACCGCGAATATTTTTAATACCGGATAAGTCACAAATAGACGAAAATGTCAATTCTGACCGTTACGTAGATGCCGATAGTAAATATATCGGATATATATAGCGAAATATATACAATGAGTATATACAAATGAAGGGGATGTTAGCTAGAATGCTTATATCTCAAGAATGGCTGGACCGATTTTGACAAATTTTGTCAATTCAGAACGCCCTCTTGGCATTAACAAATAAAATCTAAAACAAATCGTATAAAAAATGTCAATAATGATGTTAATATAGATTTTGTTGTAGTTTGTGATGTTTTTTTTTATTTTTTTTCACATTTTTTTTATCGCATGCGGTATTTTGAATTTGACTTACAATATTGAAGTATAGATTTTGTAATATTTTTTCACCTTACAGAATAGATTGGGGATATTATTTACAGATTGCAATTATCGTCCGAACCTAACGAAAATTTTCATAATTGCTTCGAGTTTGTTTTTTTCATTATGGCTACATTTGGTGAACTAACTGTCTAAGCTGATAAATTTCATGTTGAATTTTGTTTTCTCGCTTTGGTAATGTGAAGGAATTGCGAAAGTAAAACTAACATTAATTTAGGGTTGTGAAGCCGGCCCGGATTTCGTTGCCTACTCCGGATTTATAATTTTGAACGACTCCGGAATCAAATTCCTATTTATTTTATGAAAAGAACTCTTGCCCTTGAAAGGGTATTATTTTCTGAAATCATACTAATCAGTATTCTAATTATCCACCTAAGGACACCTGATGTTTTTTTATTGGTAAAAAAATCAGGATTGTTTTCTCTTTTAACAGATTTCTGTGCTATAGAAATGTTTTTCATGTGATTTTTTTCGCTTCGAATTTTGCACGTCCTTTAAATTATTTTTGAAAAAAATTAACATCAATTACACTAACATTGTCTACTTATACTCTTTTTAATTGTTTCATTGTGTTACGTTTTCTCTGAATTCTCACCCACGCCCTAAGAAGAGTAGTACTGGCTAAAACCCTTAAATCCGCTGAGTTGTAGTAGATAAACTGTTGATGCAATTTAATAAATGTTATTAAAATTAATCCCTTTTTATGAGTGAATGTAAAACAAGTAAATCAACCAAACTTCAAATATTGGATCGGAAGCCATATCAAGTTTTTATATTCTTTTGAAAAAATCCCTATAAAAAATCACTTGTTTTATATTCGGTCTAAAGTTTAAAAAAAAAACTAAAATTAATATTTATATTTCCCCAACTAATCCTTTTTTGTTTTTCCTACTCTCTTATTTTAGGTCTTCCAATGTCCAATGGCATTACCATTAACAAAAATTCCACCACAAATGGCTTTAACAACAACAATAATAATAATAGCAACGCCAGCACATCTCCTGCAGCCCCAGCAGCGGATCGTTATGCCGCCCTCAAAGATTTGGACGAACAGTTGCGGGAAAGCAAAGCAGTTGCAGCCCAGGCGGCATCGATTGTCACGGCAAATGTCGTGGAATCTGGTTTTGGAAATCGTAAGTCAAAATTTAAGGTTATCCTTTAATACATTTTTAAACAAAATTGAACAAGTTAGACGACCATATTGTGGTCTGTATAAGACGACTATATACGACTACAATTGTGGTCAATATAAGACCACGTTGTGGTCAGTATAAGACCACATTGTGGTCGGTATAAGACCAAATTTTAGTCTGTATAAGACCACATTTTTGTCTATATTAGACCACGCTGTGGTGAGTATAAGACCACTTTTTGGTCTCTATTGGGCCATATTGTGGCCTACATAGGGCCGTATTGTGGTCTATATAAGAGTACATTTTGGACCATATATGACCACAACGAGGTCTATATCCAACCAGTCAGTATAAGACCACAAGGTCGTCTGTATAAGACCACGTTGTGGTCTGTATAAGAGCACATTGTGGTCTGTATAAGAGCACATTGTGGTCTGTATAAGAGCACATTGTGGTCTGTATAAGAGCACATTGTGGTCTGTATAATGCCACATTGAGGTCAGTATAAGACCATGTTGTGGTCAGTATAAGACCATGTTGTGGGCAGTATAAGACCACGTTGTGGTCAGTATAAGACCACATTGTGGGCAGTATAAGACCACGTTGTGGTCAGTATAAGACCATGTTGTGGGCAGTATAAGACCATGTTGTGGGCAGTATAAGACCACGTTGTGGTCAGTATAAGACCACGTTGTGGTCAGTATAAGACCACGTTGTGGTCAATATAAGACCACGTTGTGGTCAATATAAGACCACGTTGTGGTCAGTATAATACCACGTTGTGGCCAGTATAAGACCATGTTGTGGGCAGTATAAGACAAAGTTGTGGGCAGTATAAGACCACGTTGTGGTCAGTATAAGACCACGTTGTGGTCAGTATAAGACCACGTTGTGGTCAGTATAAGACCACATCGTGGTCAGTATAGGACCATGTTTTGGGCAGTATAAGACAACGTTGTGGTCAGTATAAGACCACGTTGTGGTCAGTATAAGACCACGTTGTGGTGAGTATAAGACCACGTTGTGGTCAGTATAAGACCACGTTGTGGTCACTATAAGACCACGTTGTGGTCAGTATAAGACCACGTTGTGGTCAGTATAAGACCACGTTGTGGTCAGTATAACACCACGTTGTGGTCAGTATAAGACCACGTTGTGGTCAGTATAAGACCATGTTGTGGGCAGTATAAGACCACGTTGTGGTCAGTATAAGACCACGTTGTGGTCAGTATAAGACCACGTTGTGGTCAGTATAAGACCACGTTGTAGTCAGTATAAGACCATGTTGTGGTCAGTATAAGACCACGTTGTGGTCAGTATAAGACCACGTTGTGGTCAGTATAAGACCACGTTGTGGTCAGTATAAGACCACGTTGTGGTCAATATAAGACCACGTTGTGGTCAGTATAAGACCACGTTGTGGTCAGTATAAGACCACGTTGTAGTCAGTATAAGACCACGTTGAGGTCTATATTATCATAAATGGACAATATAAGGCTAACTTTTGGCCTAAATAAAGCCAGATCGTATTGTACCCCTTTTTATGCCCTCCACCATAGTATGGAGGGTATATTAAGTTTGTCATTCCGTTTATAACACCTCCAAATATACATTTTAAACCCCACAAAGTATATATGTATATTCTTGATCAGCATAAAATTCTATGTCGATTTAGCGACGTCCGTCCGTCTGGGGAAATCATTCTAGCTTCGGAACGAAATGAAGTAGTTTGATAAAATTTTACTCAAATGTAAATTATGTCTGCAGGAAATGGGCCATATAGGTCCACGTTTTGGCATAGGCCCCATATAACGGTACCCCCCGATATTCGGTACATTGATTATTTGAGCGACATTATTCACCGGAAATGTTTCAAATTTGGTATTTGAAGTTTGTAATGGATACTACAGCCTATGACAGAAAATTGTCTGTGCAGGTCCACGTTTTGGTATAGTCCCCATATAATAGTACCTCCCTATATTCGGTATTTTGGTGATTTTAGCTACATTATTCACCGAAAATGTTTCAAATTTGGTATTTGAAGTTCGTCATGGATACTACAGCCCATGACAGAAATTTGTCTGTGCAGGTCCACGTCTTCGTATACCCCCCATATAACGCTTCCCCCCGATCTTTGGTATTTTGGTGATTTTAGCGACATTATACAGTGGAATTGTTTCAAATTTGGTATTTGAAGTTCGTAATGGATACTACAACCTGTAACAGAAAATTGTCTGTGCAGGTCCACGTTTTGGTATAGCCCCCATATAATAGTACCTCCCTATATTCGGTATTTTCAAGTTTCGCATTTGAATATTGTAATGGTTTATGACAAATGTTGCCTTTGCTGGCCCATGTCGTCGTATAGACACTAACGGCTACATCCGGGATTTTTAAGATTTTAACAGAATTTTTAACGGATTTAATTTTTTGAAAATTGTTAAATTCGTTCCAAACCTTTTACAGTTTTTTACTTGTTTTGAAACTCCAATTCCTCCCATTTCTTTGCTTTTCTTAAATAATTCGAAATTGGTTTAAATATTTCTAAAATTTGTAAATATTGTTCTCTTTCCCCTCCAGCTACCAATGGCACAGTGAATCCCTTTGCCGCTCACAACCCAGCTGTGGCAAATCCATTTCAAAGCAACGGCAATGCTCCGAATGCAACACAATTGTTTGGTCAAATGACACTGATACCAAATGGCATGGTGGCAAATGGTTTTCTCAATGGACAAAAAGCTCAGGTCAATGCGGGATTTTTCAATTATACCGCCAATGGTTTTGCGACCACCAATAACAACAATAATGCCAGTAATATGAATCCAACAGCCGTGGCAGCGACAGCAGCAACAACACCTGGAGTTCCCGGCGCAACAACAATGTATTCGACAGGAATACCAAATGGTTGTGGCTTTGGTTTTGGTACAATGCACCAACAACAGATTGCAGCCACAGGAGCTGGTCTAACGGCAAATGCTTTCAATAATCCTTTTGCGGTAGGTTTCAAATGGGATGACATTTTTGTCAGTATTGGAAATAATAATTTTGTTATTTTTTATTCATTTTTTTACAGGCTAGTGGAGCTCTAAACTCAAATAATCCATTTTTATGAGATTTACGAAGCCTTAGATACGCCAATGATCCTTTGCTAAACTATGAAATGCTTAGACGTACCTAAGCCGACCCTCAACGTTTGTAGTTTAGTTAAGAAACAACCTTCTCCATTTAGTTTTTAATTTTTGATGTTTAATACCCATGAGGATGAGCGACCCATCCGCTGTCTTCTCCCCCGACCCCTCTCTATATCTCGTATAAAACTAAAACTGTGGTTTATTTCATATTAATTACATATATATTTCTATTTTAAATTTTTGATTTTTTAAAACAAAAGAAATTCTCTACATTTGTGGCCTATATTCCTCAATTTAAGGCATCTTTCCCCAATAGGGAAAAGGCCCGGGGAAAATGGCCACAAAAGACTTATAAATAAAATAGGCTGCAAATATAAAATATATAAATTTTCCTTATACAAAAAAAATACAGAAAATAAAAAACAAACCAACAGAGAAGAAGAAAAATCTAAAGCCTTATCTAAACCAGAAAGAATAGTCCATTTTATGAACAATAGTTATAAATATTATATTATAAATAAAATATATAATAAAAAATAATTATAAATATAAAATACAATTATATATATACATCCTCAAAACAAAAATTACAACAAATTACAAATTGATTATAGAAAGTGAAAAAAAAACATGTTACAAACAAGCGAACAAAATTAAAAATAATTATAAACGAAAAATAACTAACAAAATGAAAACATTTCTATAAATATATATATTTTTTCTTAAACAAGCAAAAAAACAAAACAACAACAATCAAAATTAATTTAAAAAACAAATACAAGAAAAGTAAAAAAACACTTCATTGACAAAAAGTAAAGAAAAACGAAACATCAAATATTTTTATTATAAAAAAAGAAATTAGTTAAAGAAATTAGAAATCAATTTAAATAAATAATAAAAGAAATTTATAATTATACAGGGTGACCCCCAAATGTGTGAATCAAAATCAAAAGTATTCTAAATTGAAATGTAAGACCTAAGAGAAATTATTTAAGAACTCTAATCATTGTTAAAAAATTTTTGATTGCAAAAATTCAAATGCTAATTTTGTAAACTTAGATTTCCCTTGTTTTATGTATTTCTGAAATCATATCAAGCCATTCTTTAAAAAATCGAACCCTAAAGCCTCTTTAGAAAAATGTTTAAAAAAAATCAACAATATTACCGAACATGTGCAGGTATTTAAAAGACTTCCGTCAGACACAGATGTCATAGATTATTTCTTTAATCTATTATTTTATCCATAGTGGGGAGTCAGTTGTATATAAATATTTTATATTTTATGAATATTATATTTTATAAATATTTTGTGAACAATACCTCGAACGGAGGTATCTCCTCTTTTCAGACCTTGGGAAAAATAACTATGGCATTGTTATAGAATCAAAAGAAATATTAAAGATTTATTATTGGCGGCTATAATGGAGTAGTTTTTAAACGATTAATTTAATATATCTTAAAGAGTTTACGACCAAAAGAACTTAACACCCCTTAAGAATAAAAATTAAATTCCAAAGGGTAAAGTTTTTTTGAAAAGATCAAAAGGAGATTTTAATTGGTGGTCAGAGCAGGAGTCTTGGTAGGTCCATTGAAACATGAGATAGATCAATAGACACGCTAGAAAAATTAGTTCTTAATTATCAGATTAAAATCAACCAAAAGGGGAGACCCTCTTGTGCGGACAGGAAGATCGTTGTTATGGGAGAATTAAAGTTGACCTTTTAGTCTGCGGTCTTAAAACGATTTTACATAACCAAAAATTAGTAGTACGTAAATTAAACTCGTACAGTTTCAGATCGTATATCTATCCCAGTGGTATATATTTTTTGTGAACAAACGGAGGTATCTCCTCTTTTCAGACTTTGGGAAAATTAACTATGGCTTTGTTATAGAATCAAAAAGGATATTAAGGATTTATTATAGGCGGCTATAATGGAGTAGTTTTAAGTGATTATTTTTATATGCCTTAAAGAGTTTACGACCAAAAGAGAGAACATAATACTCCTGAATCAAATTCTTAAAAATCAAATATCAAAGGGGCAATTTTTTGAAAAGACCAAAAGGAGATTTTTATTGGTGTCCACAGCAGGGGTGTTGATAGAAGTTCAAAGGATACTAAAATTAGGCATGGAAGAGTCATCATTGACAAGCTGGAAGAAACCATTCTAATCTGAAAGATTAAAGTCTAGATCTAAACAAAACGCAGAGACCCTCTTGTGCGGAGTGGAAGATCGTTGTCATGGGAGAGATACGGTTGGCCTTTTAGTCTGCGTCCCAAAAACGCTTTTACATAATCAAAATTTAGTATTTTAGGCAACGAAAAAAGTGTACGATTATGTCAACAGAAGTTAGTATTTGTAGACATTCCGATAAGAATAACTCCATGCGATCAAGAGTCTCTGTATGGCAAGAATAATGACTTTAAGGTGGATCTTAGTTGACCACATTAAATTTGGAAAAGGGTCGCCATAATCGTGTTTAAGTTAAACTTCTTAAAACCCACAAAAATGTCTTTTAATAAAAATGTCTTCTCACAATCTCATAAATGGCCCTCAAAAAACCCACAAAAGAAAACTTCTTTAAACTTCTTTAAACCCACAAAAGAGTCTTTAAATAAGAATTTCTTCTTATAATTTCATAAATGACCTGCAGAAAGTATTTTAAAAATATCAGTTATGAGAGTTTTGTTAAAATTTGAAAATGGCATATTAAGTCTATAAAGAGACTTGAAGTTGTATTTTCTAAATGTTTCTTAGAGAGTTTTTATAGACAAGCAAAATATAGACTTAATTGGGAAACGACCACATTGAAGGCCGTTTAAGCCGCAGATAAATTCAACAAAAAGGTGTTTTTAGATGTCACCCAAAGCCATTACATCATCACATTAGATAAAGGTATTTTGAAGAATAAAGAGGAGAAAGTCTTTGTCTACGAACAGAATGGAAAATTTGCAAAAGACCCGAAATAATTCTTTAGGCTCAAATTTGATAAACTGAACATATCCCATGTAAAGTCTATCGAATTATAGTACCATTAAACCGACAAAATATAAAGATTTGTGGACTTTAAATAGAAATACTCTTTGGTCCTTCAGAAGGGATTATTTTGTCCTCCAGAAGCAAATGTTAATAGACGTCCAGTCCAGTTTTTGAAGACGACCGGCTCGATGTATTCTAAGATGTATTATCAGGTATTGCAAAAGGATCTATAAGCGGGCTTATTGTTGTTCTTTATAGACGATCTGATGTAAGTTTCGGTAAATGATCAGAAGGTACTCTTTACGGAGTATCATTTTTAGTCTTTATGGATGATTAAAAACCAGTCGTAATTAACATCCAGCCTAGGTTTAGACTTTTTAGGCTACCACAGGGAAGCCGAATACGCGATGAAAGAAAATATTGGATTCAAAACTGTTTTTTTTTTGATACGTGTCTGGATTATAGTCTCCCAGTTCGAAGTGCATATAGGGGGTCAGAAGGTACTATCATTGAATAAGGCAATAATAATATTAATATCCAATACTTGATTTTTTTGACAGACGGTCGAATTTTGTCCTTCTACCTGGAAATGGCTATAGGGGACCATAGAGTATTCGAGTCTCCTCCAAACTAAGAGGATTTATAAACTACATAAAATTTGTTCATCGCCTGGTGTACGAAAAGAGACATAGAAAGAATAACAATTTTAACACCTCTTCCAAACCCTGAAACACCAGCAGATATGTTAGTCCATTTTTGATAAAACCCAGAATTATTATTGAAAATATTCTCATGCTAAGTTTTCCGAAAAATAAATAGCGTTTTTACGGCAAAGGGTCAATATATTAGAACACAATGGACCTAAGGTCTCCCAATGAAGCAGTGTAGCTCCTCATCCCAAAACCATTTCGCCTCGGACTTTTTCTTCTATTAAAGAAACCCAAATTCTCAATGAATATTATATTTTAAAGTTCTTATGGGAGATCGTAACTTTTAGCATATTTTCCTAATAAGAAGACTTTTTATATATATTTTTATATATTTTTCACACATTTCGGAACACCCTGTAATACAATAAAAAATAGCTAAAATAAAAACTAAAAAAAAACTTTAAAAAGTAAAAAAAAAAACACAAAAAACTAAAAATGCTTTAACACATTGTAATTAATAAATGCAATAACAAATTAAGTAAACCTAATAACAACAAAAAAGATAAAATTATAAATATTTTTATTTAATTAAAAAAATAATTCATCTCTCGTCCCTTAAATCAACATTGATGATAACAATCAAATACATATATTTGTTATATTTGAAATTAAGGAAATAAAATAACAACAAAATCACTTAACTGGCAGCCATCCAAAACAATACCTATTCCTTTTCTCTTGGAGAGGAGATAACTTTTTGTTAACAAAAAAGAAAAAACTAAAACAGAAACAAAAATGAAAAAAGAACTAATATGAAATATGTTTAGAACAAGATGTTATTGCCTTATAAATATTTTGCTTTAAAAATATTATTTTGACAATTTCAGTTTTAGTTGCAAAGTTCAAATTTGTAGAAAAACGTTATTTGGTTGCTTCAATTCGCAATGCTAGTTTTCAGGTATTTTAAAATTGCCAATTTTGGGGCCGATGTGTTTATGTTGAAAGAAAAAATATCAATTTTTTAGATCTGTTGCCAAATTCTCCCATTCGATATGGAAAGATTAAAGTTAAGGTTCCGCTATTAACGAAAAAAAAATATTCAATGTTAGAATAGAACACTAGTTACTTCTACCGAAATTTTCCATTAAATCGAGCTAAAATTAATTTATAAAAATTAATTTTAATCGAAATTTTTTCAATATCGAATCAGAGAATTTGGAAAAAAAAATTCCGAGAAATGTTTTTTATTATTTTTTTTATAAAGATTAATTTCAATCGAATTTTTTTTCAATATCGAATCAGAGAATTTGGAAAAAGATCTAAAAAATGTTTTTTTCTTTTGACATAAACAAACCAGGTTTACAATTGATATAACTAGATTTTTGCAGATAATGTATTCTCTTTTGAAATCACTACGTCTTAAAAGGTCGATAATTTCATATATGGTCTATCCACAGTTTGGAAAACCCATTGTCAATATATGACAATATTTTGGGGAATTCAAAATTTCTTTTTTTTAAACACCTGAAAAGAAATTTTCCAACTGGCCCTAAAATTTGCATAACAAGGTTTTTGCAAAGAAAGTATTCTCTTTTGAAAACACTTCGCCTTGGAAAGTCGATAATTTAATACAACTTCTAGCCACAGATTGGAAAACCCATTGTCAACAATATTTTGGGGAATTCAAAATTTCTTTTTTTTAAACACCTGAAAGGAATTTTCTGTAATTATGTTATTCCACCTTACCTCAATCCGATATTTTTTATTACCTTAGTTAAGGTATCCAAAATTGAATAGCAGTGAGGTCTCACAAGACATTACAATCACCTAAGACAAATTTCAAAATTGTTTTTTTTTTATTATTTTTTGTTTCTGTTTTAGTTTTTTTTTTTAATTCTCCTCAAAACGATATTCTCATTTTATCGTTTTTTTTTTTGTTGTCTCGCTCTTGTAAATTTCCTGAAAACCCCCTGTTTTTATTATGTTTACTTTTTGTCATTAAGTTTTAAAAAATAATTAAAAATATATTTCTAATTATTTTTCTTTCTCTTTGTAATTTTAAAAACCTAAGTTTTTTTGTTTTAACGCATTGTTCTCTTATCTAAGAAAAATAATAATATTTGTTGTAATTTTATGCATATTGTCCTTAAACGAGAAATGTTTATTGAAAATTTGATTATGGTATTACATTTTATTTTCCATTAAAACAAAAAAACTAACAAAATTTATATTTTATTTAATTTTTTAAATAATAATATTATTATTATTTTTAATGGCGTGATGATGATTATTAACATATACCTATCATTTTATAAGTTTTGTTCATTTTCTTTATCCTGTATTTTATGCTAAATTATAGACCACAATCAACATAACCACACCAACACACACACAAAGCAAAAAGAAAACACATTTTATGTTTTATATTTTTATGTTTTATTATTATTATTAATAAACAAAAACGAAAAATATTTATCGAAAATATAAATTGTTTAACTGGTTTTATTTATGAAATTTGTTTATTTTTAGCAAATATTTTGTTGTATTTTTTTTTTTTTTTTTTTTGATATTTTCTTAAAATCTTGTGTAATAAGATGTTCCAGAAGCCATCTTATTATATTTTATTCACTAATGAAAAAAGAAACTTAATATTTTATTTATTATTCAAGTAATACTTTTAAGGTATAATTGTAATTAGGGCCTGACTCGTACTGCGCCTCGTTCCACAAGGCAGCCTTTATATGAAAGTATTTGACATGTTTTTTTTTTTTTAAGATCCGAATTGAAGTGTATTTTGAAAACCCGATAATTTGATGGGAAACTTCAAAGACATCTAAAAGCGAGTATTTATGAATTTTTTTCCGCCTATCTGAAGAAAGTTTATACGCTTTTATAACCTCAGTCATTAGGCTAGAGAGGGTAAATATCATTTGATACGGTCAAAACGTGCCTAGCCGAAATAACGGTTTTAGACCCTAGGTCTCTTTGGACCAAATCCGTTTCAGGACCTTTGGAGTCGATCACGCTATGTCCGTCCGTCTGTGTGTCTGGCTGACTGGTGCGCACGTTTTCTCTTGAAGAGAGTATCCGATTTGGCCCAAAGTTGGTACATCCTAATATTTTTGTCAAACTTATATATCCACTCCTTCTGGTACCTCCCCCACAAAAGATCGAAATTTTCAAAAAATATATTTTCTGCACAGGAAGAGAAACAATATTCCGATTTTGCTCCAACTGTGCAAATCATAATATATGCATCAGTGCTATGTCAGGTGCGAAAATGAACACTATCGGTCCATTCCATCAAGTATGTCCCCCACAAAAAAATTGGAATAATTGTAACTCTTATAAAATGTGCTGTAAGAGCCCGATTGTCTTCAATTTTCACGCATCCCAATATTTTTATTAACCAGCAGTCTGGTGTGAAGATGGAATATATCGGTCCACTCCTTCCGGTACCTCACACAAAAGGGGTCACAATTTTCAATACTTTTATCTATCATAACTTGCGAAGCAAGTCAGCGATTCTTTACAACATGCTACAATTTTTCTCTCAATCAGAAGCCTGGAATTAATATGGAATTTATGATTTCGAATAAAATTGGAGATAAATGTTCGATTTTCTTGTAATTTTGCCCATGTAATTTTGCCCATACCTAAGTTTGAAGAAAATCTTGCATTGATTTCACTTATGTATTACTTTATTCCAAATTTAGACATCTGTGGGGGGGGGGATGTAGCATAAGAATGGGTCACTACGGCCCGAGTTCCCAAAGACTTATCTAAAAATTACCATACCGGATTTTCCCTTCGCTCAATTCCAAAATTTCAATTTTTTCGTGGAACTTGATCTAATTTTGGTAAAAATATTGCAATGTATCAAGTTTAGACCGAATCGAATATAATAATAAATAAATATATAATAAATTAAACCATATTCAATTTTCTAGCAATGTTTAGAATGGTTTGGCCCATCAAAAAGTTTCAGTTGTAACTAAGTCTTATTTCTGTTGATTTTTTTAAAGTTCTAGGGACAATTTCGTATTTATTTTGGATTTACTCACCATTGTCTATATTCGATGTGCGTTTTTTTTTTTCTACGTTTGCTGGAGTTACATTATAAAAACTGCAATATTAATTTGTTTTCTTTATTCCCTCTGTTCTCAATAAATTGTCTTTATTCTACTTAAAATCCGGCAATTCTCTTTTAACCGGCGGCTCAACATTCATGTAATATCAAATTTCCCTTAAAAATGTAAATTTTTGAGCAAGTTCTATGGGATTTCATTTTCATTCAAAATGTGGTGATTTTCCTAGGAATCAAAATATATCGTTCGCAAAAATTGATGCAAATAACAACTACAATATTTTCCTCAGCCAATGGTAAAAGTTTCAGGTCAATATCTCAATTCGTTACTGAGTTATAGCCATTTGAAATAAAACTTGTGTCAAAATATAGCTGCTACACGATGCTGGGCGCCTGTTACTTGAAATGAAAAAATGACGAAATTACACATTTCTCTGTGGCTGCAATCAAGCAACAATGTTGCCAGATCAGTGGCAAAATCAATGGTGTGATATGACTTCATAAATCCAAAGCATACTTTTAGGCGTTAAATATAAATTGAAATGCGGTACAAACCTCATGGTCATTTAATTTACATATAGCGCCTAAAACTAGGCTCTGAATTTAGGAACATCACAACGAAAGACAAGACTAGGCCTATGGTAACATTGCTACATTTGATGACATTGGTATTTATGGTCATTTTAAGTCCTTATTTCACAAATGAATTAATTAATTTATGAAAGTTGTCGTCGTTGGGGGTAAATAAATAAAATTCAACATGTTCAACTGCAAAAGGTAACAAGGCAATGTCCTAATCTTGACAAATTTTAACGGATGGATTTATTGACGGACGGATTTATTGTCGAGACAAATTTTACCAATTTCTTCAAATGGAACGCTTTTTTGTATTAAAGTTTCCCAGGCCTTGTTTCGCTGTTTTAGTCTTAAGTTCTACCTCTACTGAAATCATGTAATTATTCAAACGTATCTAAATTCTATAATAATCTTACAGTTTTATCATAAGTTTAATTTTTAATACGCAGGGTGAGATAAAAAAACTGCAACGAAGTCAAACGCCACAATTCTTATTTTTTAAATTTTATTGAATGAAAACAAAAAATATCTAAATAGCATCAAATTTTAGAATAAGTTTAGATTTGTTCGAAGTGGTCACCTTTGGCACGAATTATGCCCTTCAAACGGCTGCGGTATTTTGGCCCATTCCCGGCGAAGCGCTTGTTTGAGGTGATCGACACTTTGGTATTTTTTAGTGCCAACCTTGCTTTCCAAAATACTCCAGACACAATAGTCTAACGGATTGGTATCCGGAGATTTTGCAGGCCCTTGTGCGCTGGAAATGAAGCAAGAAACATCATTTTGTAACGTTTCTTGGGTGGCGCGTGCTGAGTCCCGTTGGAATGTACAAGGTCAGCGGCCAAAATGTTTGCGTGCTCAAGGCTTTAATACACCCTCCAGAATATTTTCGTGATAATATTCGGCATTTATTCTGATGCCACGGTCGATTAATATGAGCGGAGAGGGGCCATCGGCTGTTATGGCGGCCCACACAATCGTCACGGCCGGCGCTTGAGTTCTGGCGGCCAACCGAAGATGCACATTTTCAGCTGACCTCTTTGGCAAGTAAACACGATCATTTTGTTTGTTTACAAACTGCTGGACAACGAATGTTTTCTCATCAGAGAAAACCAAATCTGGCAGTTCACCATTTTCGGCCAAGCGAAGCAACTCTTTAGCTCTTTTGAGTCTATTTTCTTTTTGTTGCGGTGTAAGTTCTTGCACTTTTTGGAATTTCAATGGCTTTACCCCGAGCTCAGTTTTCAATATTTGCCGAATGGTATATTGCGATATGTTCAGCTCACGAGCCATTTTTCGGACACTGTGACGCGGGTTTCGATCAAGTCGCTTCTTTACTTTTCGTGGAACCATTTCTGCTGATGTTGCTGTTTTTTTTCGTCCACTTCCTTGACATTGGGCTACGCTACCAGTATCACGGTAACGAGCGATGGTACGAGAAACAAAAGATTTATTTACATTTAAATGCTGGAGTGCTCTAACGATAGCCAATGTAGTTTTCCTGCCAAATCTGAAGAAATTACACTATCATTACACTATCTTGAATTCATTCATTAATTCACCAAAATGCTTTTGTACGCTTGCGAACAATATAATGAGCTGTCACTGGAATAATTTTAACAGCTGTTTGACGAGTGGCTTAGAAATGTCAGCAGTCTGAAGTTGGTTGCAGTTTTTATCATCTGACCCTGTATATTATTTTAAATTATTATTAAGGATTTTATTGTAAATTACCACTATGCTTATTATATGCTTAAATCTGAATTTTTGTGGCCTTATTTTCTGTGAAAAGCAAAACCTATAAAAAAATAAATTTAAAAAACATATAAAAATCGCATGCATGTATATCTGAAAAATTGGAATTAAAAAAAAACAACATTTTGTGGTGACATCGGTATGGGAGTGATTTCAAAATACATGCATAACTTTATGTTGTTTCTTTAAAATAAGAATATTAAATATTTTATTTTTTATAAAAAAATCTGAAATTACTCCCTTGTCACCACATGAAACTAAAACCAAAAAAAAACATTTCAAAGAAAATCAAACAATTTTTGTACCTAATTGTGAAGCGCTAAAATAACAAAATATATTTAAAATAAACTACAAAAACAAACTCATTCATACATACCTACATATATATATATGTAATATATATAGAAATTAAACTAAAAACAGAAAACCAATCAAAGAAAATATTTTATTAAAAAAAAAAGACGCAAACAAATGTGTGTTGTTCATACTGCTCATCGAAAAAAAATAAAACAAACAAAACGGACACATTAAAAAATAATAATATTAAAATAAAATGAATAACAAATTACAAAAGAATTCAAAACAAATACAACTACAACAAATACTGCTTAAAGTACATTTAACAATAATTATAATATTTTGAAGAAAAAAAAACAAATTATAAAATTAAAAATAAACCCCAAAAAAGTGAATGAATAATAACTAAAAATTTATAAATACAAATATAAAAAAAAACTAAAAAACAAATCAAAATACAAATAATAAATAATTTTCATATATTTCAAACTTCTTAACTGTCGTCATCATTTATACATATTCCTAAAACAATGTAAAAACAAACAATAATAATTACAATAAATACAATTTAATAAAAACAAAAAAAAAACAAAAATAAATTAAAATACGTACAAAAACGTATTCTCGTATTCGAATGTTTTTTTTTTTTATTTAATAAAGGTAATTGTTAATAAGGATAAGTGAAATCTGAACGAAAGGCAACTCACATCAAGGTAAGTTTTACATATTTTTTCGAAAGGTTTTCATTTTGTATGCAAATTAGAATAAAATTC